GCCACCACACCCTCCTCGTACATAAAGTGCGCCGCGAGAAGCCCGCCGAGGGCGCGGATGGTCGTCTCAAACGCAGAGACAGTGACGTCGATGTCAAAGCTCACGTGCTCCTCCACCCACTTCGCATAGCGGCGAAACTCCGTATGCAGCCCAGCGACCGCCAGTGTGTCGAGTGCGTCGATCAGCGTCCACCCGTAGCCACCCATGGTGTTCTTCCCAGTCCCGCTCACCGGGCACAACTCGTCCTTCGGGAAGGCGTACTTGATGTAAGAGCCAAAGGCGTGCTCTATCATCTCGCGCACGTAGGGCCGCATTTCGGCCGCAATGGGGTGCAACGCATCGGTGCTCCGCCACTTACTGCCGCCCTCGCCGTCCCGGACGCCCGCCCCCCCGCCTGGCCCGTCACCGCGCACTGGCACAGCGGCCAGCAAGAGGCATGCCGCCAGCGCACAGACACATAAAATGCTGTACATTTCCGTGGAATTTGTTCGAGTTTTGGGTCTTGTTCCGTGTCGCTGTGTTTGTGGGCCGCCTTTTCCTTTCTCTAGTTGTGAATGCGGAGGATGTGGGAGGCAGCAGTCAGCCATGGAGTTGTCCAGGCTTCATAATCAGTAGGGAAACCCACCCCAGCCAAAGCTATGAGGATGCCGCACACATTGTATTTAGTATACGTCTGAGGGAAAAAGTTCTTTACAGTAAAGACGTAGTGTCCTTTCTTAGTTTGTGGCAAAAGCGATGTTGTCCTCATCTGATGGTAGCAAGTTGCGTGGCATACGAGCGAGTTTATGTAACCTCGCAAGGAGTAGAGCCTTGCTTCTAGTGAGATGAAGCTTTCGTTCCTCCATTTCATGAGCTGGACGATAAATTGGTTGTGTCGTGGTATTGTTCTGACGACGGTCGCCCGACAGTGCGTCTGTCCGGACGCGGCTCTGCACCGGTGCAGGTGCCTCTGATGGCGGCGACCTGCATTCCTCGCAGGGAAGTGGCGTTACTGCTGCCGAAGCAAGAGAGAATTTTGACGGTTGAAGCTCCAACCCCTTCGCGCCGTTGAAAGGCGAATCGTGGAGGTCGCTCTGCTGGCAGCTCTCACTGTCACTCGCTTGGGCACTTGACTCCAGCGCGTTGCTGCATCCCGAATGCGATGGAGCGGGGCAGGCTGAGCCACCGTCGTCGGATGAGCCCCCGGCATCCCTCCGCTGCCGATGCCGTTGGGCCCACTCCTGCTGCTGCACTCGGGGGCGTGCATCGGCCGCAACGCACGTGCCGCGGGGGAGACGCTCGCGACTGCCGCTGGCAGCAGTTTTTGCTGCATCTCTGAGACGGCTGCGGGGGCTGTGCGGGGGACTCGTAGAGGGAGGCCTCCCCGCTGCATGCCGCCGCTGCCGCAGTAAGGGGGTCGCCAAAGCGGGTAAGGTGGCGCCGTGAAGAAGCTGGGGGTCGTCCTGGCGGGTTGCTTCTGCGGGGCCGCCTCCCTGTACCTCCCTGGCGTCCGTCCAGGCGGCATTCAGCAGACGCTCCGCCCGCGCCAGTAGGGAGACGGCTGGATCGCTTGCTGACAGAGCCGCAGAGGATTTTCCAAGCGCCGTTTCTAGGCGCGCCTGCGGCCTGGGGGCATGCAGCGGACTCGCGGCCGGCCGGTGCCCGGAGGAGGGCCCCATGTCGTCCAGGGCGCTCCGCGCCTTGGCCAGCAGGTCCGACTGCGACTTCTCATGCGCCGTCAGGTCCAAGTCCAGCTGGCGCACCTCCTTCGGGCCATGGAGGGAACCAAATTTTGGGGCATCGCGGCCCACGCGTGCAAGCGCATCCCCTGTCTGCGTCTGCGCCCGATGCCCCTCGACACCCACCCGCAGCCGCGTTGCCTGCGCCGCCAGCTGACCGAGTCGGTTGGACTCCCCCTCAAGCAGCTGGGCACACCGGTCCCGGTCGACTTGGAGCGCAAGGACGCGTTGAACCCGCCTTCTCCGTAACGCCTTGCGCTGGGCCGCCATGTCCGACGCCTCCGCCTGCTCCCGCCCTGCGTCGCTGCGCAGCTGCTGCAACGCCCGCTCCAGCGCCGCAAGCCCCTCACCCACCTCACGCATATCAATTTCTACTAGCGACAGAAGGAACGTGACGGTGGCGGTCTCGTCCAGGCCGTGGCTCTCTGGCGTGGCCCCCGTGAGCCTCGACAACGCCGCCGCCACCGCCTCCCCACAGTTTGCCGCCACACTTTTCCACGCGTGGCAGCAAGCGGCAGTTGTCTGACGCCGTTGCACAACCTCTTCGGGTTTCAGAAACTTGCAAAGTGTATTGTAAATGCGACGACAGTGGCGGTCATGCGCGAGCCGTTGGGCCTCACACAACACACTGACGCGCTGGTGCAGGGCATCCGCCGCCTCGCGCGAGGCAAGGGAAGAATCCGTCTGAACAGCCGCCAAAAGCGTTTCCACGTCATTAGGGGTTGTGAGCATTTCCCCAAGACCCTCCGTTCGTTAACCCGGATTAATGCACGCATATACAAATGTGTGTGTGTATATATATATATAAAGGAAGAGTAAGCAGCACTTCGGTTGCGGCGGACAGAGCAATAAACACCACACAAAGCGCGACAGCAGCGCCGTAATGCATGTTCACAACAACTCGCCGCTTACGTAAATAGAGTTAGACCCGTACCTGCAGAATTAAGTGTTTATCCTTCTTCTTGGCGGTGGGGGGTCGGGGGGAGTAAATCGGCGTCGATTGGTCCACGCCACACGGGGCCCCAATTCCTGTGTGTTGTGCCATCTAGTACCACGTTTGATGCTGTCCTTGTCGCCTCCCCCTAGTCTCTTGCTCCTCCGCCGGCCGCTGCTGCATCCCCGCCTGGGCTCCCAAACACGCACACGCAGCGGCATACCCAAGGAAAAAAAAAAGCAAAACAAAACCACTGCAATATGCGATGATGAACCACAACGCACGTTCTACAGAGGGAGGGGGAAAAAGCAACATGTGCAAAAAAAAAACTCCTCGCAACACAGTTATTATGTATTAGTTACGGCACTCACTTTTTTTCGCACCACATCAGAAAGCACCCAGACCGCTTGCTGTCCAATGCCCCAAGTTCGGAGCAGCGCTCAAGCCGGGACGGAACATCACGTGCATCGAAGAGCGACGACGGCAATACGGCGAGGTTTCGCAGCGTTCGAGGGACCTTCGCTTCCACGCCCAAGAGATCCGCAAGTGTCATGTGGAGGTCTAGCGTGGTTGAGATGCGGCGAGTGCGCTGCATCATGTTCGAGAGCGAGAGCCCCGCAGCGTAACCCTTGATGCGATCCATGCGGGAGAGCAGCTCGCGATGCAGGATGAAGCCCGCGAACGGCAGCGCGCGCTCGAGCTGCCCGGGTGCCGTTAGTTCGTAGTAGGGGCCCATGTGGTTGCCGTGGTCAGAAAGCAGCAGCAAGGCATTGGAGGGGTCGTCGAAGAAGCCGAGACGCTTTTGCAGGTCGTCGAGGAAGGCGGTGAGGGCATCGTCCACGAGGTACACCACACCGTGGGTGCCCTCGTGGCCCTCAAGCAGGTGCAAGACGTCAAGGAAGAAGACGGCATCATCTTGCAAAGGCACAGAGGCATTTTGCGACGGGGACATCGCCTGAGTTTGTTGGTTTTCTTGTCGTCTCCGACGCAGCCGTCGCCTGACGAGGGCGCGCGTGTAATTCAAAACGTACTCGTGCACATACTGCTGACCAATGCACCGGCGCAGGATGCTGTTGGCCCCTTGGAAGTTGCCCTCGAGCGCCGAGTATTGAATGTGACAGAAAGGCCCAAAGGTGTTGTAGTCCAAGTCATTCCCGTACGGCTCGCCAAACCCCGCACTGTCTTTAGTTCCACCGAAGAGCGACAGCATCACGTCCATGCAGTCTCCAATGGTGTAGGAGGTACTGAATCGGCTGCCATACTTTTGTTTTGCTAACCGGAAGAGGCTTCGCTCCGCAATCTCACTTTTTCTGCCGCGCACACGGCTCAGAATGTTGCCAGTAAAAAGTGGAACAAGATTGGCATCCGTGCTGTGAGATATCGTTGTGGCGCCCTGCGCCTCCACAAAGACGTGCTTGCTTGACCTGTTGCTTCGGAAATTGCGGAGCCAGTTCCTAAATTTTGGCAAAGACCGCTGCACCTCCGCACGACTCACTGCATCCAGCACCAAAACGAGAACGCTGGCTGGGGGACCTGCGTCGTCCCGCCCCTTCCCCTCAAATACCTTTTCCCCTGCAGCCGCCTTGCGGCACCGGACAGGTGGAAACACGTGGTACTCCTCGTAGTCTGAAGTAGGGCAATGAACACTGTAGGCCCCGCTCTCTCCAAGCGGAACCTCCCAAACCTTACTGGAGGACCAGCCTGCACGTGCAATTCGCTCATAGTCGCTCCGCGGCTTCCGTGAAACCGGAATGAGACGGGACGGAATAACCTCCACAGACTGAATCACCCCTGCTGGGTCACGGGTCACGTGAACACCCATCGATTGGTGAACTGTCTCGTTCGTCCCATAACGCATCTCTAGGGTTTGATGCCACACTTTGCTCATGTTAAGCACCTTGGGGAGAACCTCCGTCCCCCCATTCAACTCGCTGCGCTCCGGGCGCTCAATGTACACCCGCGGCTGCTCCTTTCCATCTGGGCAGAGGGGAAAGACAACCAAGACCTCCTCCTCCTCGTCAAGGAAGGAGATCGTGTTCGTGCCACACTGATCACTTCCGCCAAACGCGTTAAGCAGCCGGCGGTGCGTGTATTCGGGAAGCACCCACCCTGTTGCGGCAGCGCGCGACAACGCTAGACCCTCGAGTCCACAAAAGTCGACGCGGTCTCCGAGCATCCCGACCTCCAACAGGCGCTTTGCATCGCCTGGGAGAAACAAGGGAATAATTGGAACAAAAAGCATAAGCGCCAGTACGCCGCCTATCAAAATAATCCGCATCCTCCAAAACGGCAACCTACGCGAGCGCAACTCGTCTTTTTCCCCATGACGCTTAGAACCCCAAAAACATTGAAAAACACGGCACGCCGGCCCCAGTACAATTGCGCAGCCAGAACAAAGCATGACGCTATCCGCCAGAATACGGAAAAAGATCAACATAAGCTCTTGCGTCTGGCGGTGACGAGCGGAAATCGTTAGGTGTATAAAGAAGTGGATTACCGCAACAACGATCGACGCCAGAAGAAAAGCGTTCCAAAGGTTCCTCCGCTGCATCAGACTTGAAGCTCCGACCCAACGAAAAGTAACAGGGAGGAAAAGCACAGCGTACGCCGCAATACCTAATGCCACTGAGCAGCATTCCCTTGCTATACGTGCGGCAAATGAAACCCCACGTATACCCTTTGCCATCTGGACCAGCATCCACCACGAACAGAAGATTAACACCATTGTGATGCATATCGGCAGGTAAGTAACTAGCCTCGACATTCCAAGCCACATAAACGAGAAAAATAAATACTTAAATCCTTCCAATAATACCCCCCCCCAAAAAAAAAAAACAGAAGAGATGCATACATTTAAGGCATACACATCTCCAATCTCCAAGGAAGAAAAAATCCAAAACAAAAAAAAAGGGAAGAGCAGGTTCACAAAAAAAAACAATAATAGAACAATATCGGCAAGACTCAGAATTACCAATACTTCATCGCACCTGTTCAGCTTATAAGAAATCTATACTACGATAGTTGTTGAATAAAAGTATTCCCATCTATAAGGGATGAAGTGCCAACATTATTTTTCTTACAAGTGGTGAAGCAGGATTGGCACGTCCACTTCCCTCTCCTTCCCCAGCCAGATTCCGTGCAAGCACATCATGAAGCACTTCTAGTGTCTGCCATAATTGGTCTCGCTCTTCCAGCAATAGGCCAAGCTGTTCTAATGATAGGATCGGAGACTTTGTCAATTGTAGCTCCTCATTCATAGAACCCTCGTCGGCAAAAGAGCCTTCCTCATCATTTTTACTACCTGTTAGACTACGTTGGTGACGTCTATGAGTGGCAAGAGCAACTGCCTCATATGACTCAACCTCCTGTCTCAAATCCTCCAGCATGGCAAAGCACTCCTGCGGCACAGAAAACGATGCAGGTGTCATAGGCACACTTGAAGAAAAGTTGGAGTCAGTAGGTTCGGTGTTCAGCTGAGAATTTCTTTTCTTCAAATGCAGATTGTGCTTGTTTGTTTCATCTGGATTTCTCAGTTGAGGTTTCGGAAACGCGTCGATTTCATCTTTTACAACTTCAACCACCCCAGATTCAATGGCAGGAGAAGGGCCACGCTGTATAGCTTGATCACTATCCTTTGCTTCAGTAAATTTGGGGGTTGTAGAATCCTCCCTCGCACTATTCACTATTTCAGTATGCTTCGTTTCGTTTTCAGAAGGCGATGCAACAAAATCAGGCTCTCCATACTTCTTTCGGACCATTTTTTGTTGCAACTTCATAGCTCGTGTCATTCTCACCCCTTCTACTTGCCCACTACCTTCATAAGTGTTGGCGCGCCGCTCAAGAGCAGATCTGGAATATGTGCTCAGCATTTTCTTCAAAAACTGATACATCCACTTCAGAAGCACAATATGCTCCTGAAGCTTTCCTGCCGCCAAGCGTGGCACATCCACCTCCAGAGAAAACTCTGGAGGTACGCAGCCGCGAAGCATAAGTTGCAATGTTTGCATATTCTTTTCACAGTAGCCACGTTCCTGCAAAGTGTCCGAAGAAGGATCTTGATTTGTACACGTCGTCGCTGTAACACTCCACTCAAGACGACTGAGAAGCCGAGATGCACGTTTTGCCCTTGCATCAGCAACATTTGCCTCTGGTAGTCCAAGCGCATTGCAGTTCTCCGCCACGCGAGAAGCTGCAGCATCAACTATGGTGCAATACGCCACACCATCACGCAGTGATTCAACACTTGGGTACTGCGCAGTGCAAACGCTATTAATCCATAATAAAAGTTCCCCTCTTCCAGTGGGCTGTGCCGTTTGTGAGGTTCCATACATTGGGAAATTTCTCCCCTACTTAGTCTCGCCAAACGGTCTGAGTCAAAGCAATCTTTTTCGTTTTTCTCCTTCTTCTGGTTTATGCTCGCAATTTACAGCAGTTGGGCAAGCAAAAAAAAGAAAACGAATGAAAAAAAATAAAACAAAAACATGTGAGGCACAGCCGCATTTCCCATTTTAAAAACGAAATAAAAATAACAAAGAAACTGACAAAAAAAACAGCACTATCCGATGCACACGTAGTTTAGTCTCGCACGCAACTTGCGCATAATGCGATGGTTCAATCTTTTTCACAGAAGCGAGTAAGAGGAAAAAAGAGGAAATTTTGCCCTATTTTAGAAAGGAGGTTGGTACAAAAGCACACACAACTCCAAGAAAGAGAATTTTAAAAAATATATAATAAATAAATAAATAAACGCAAAACAATAACAGCACTGTCGCGGTAACGAAAATAAGAAAAATTAAACCTTAGAGCCTCCTCCGATTGGGCTAAACTGCAAGAAAAGCAAAAAAAAAACAGCAGAAACAAGAAGCAGAAAAAAAGCGAATGAAAAAAAGTCCCGTTTTGTATTAACTCCTCCTAAAAATTCACTAGCTTTTCAGACGCGACTGATTAGAGGTTCATCATCGTCGTTATTTTCCTCGCTTCTTGCACCAGCGGCTAATGCCAAAGTAAATGCATTGAACCCTTCGTCGCGAGGAGCAGCATCAGGGTCAGCTTCGTCATTATCCGCCCTCTGCGTCAGCAAAACAGATTCACCTCTTTTTTTTTGTCTCCACAATGTAAGCTCCAGCCTCATTAATAAAGAGGCTGCTGATCGGAACCTGTCTAACATGTTCTCGGTGGCGTATCGGCAATGTGCTTCTCCCAACTGATGAGGCTTGTGACAACCATGCAACCCCGCTTTGTTGTCCGTGATCTAGCCCGCCGCGTTCCTCTTCGTCTGATACTCGCAATCGGCAAAAGCGGCCAATGATGAGTAAAATAAAAAGGACCCAAACACCCGCCCATTGCAGCAGCCACGATATTGCCCAAGCACTGCAAGCCAAATAGTTTCACTCCCCCTCCATAAACCAATCCGTCCGCCCCATTAAACTCCGAGGATCCGGCGAGGCCGATAAAAATAGCCCCAACCAATCCAGGTGCCCCATTAATGCTGGAAACATCAACCGCATCATCAATCCATAATTTGTGCTTAATCAAATACACAGAGAGATTTGCGCAAATGGCGATAAAAATAGCACAAACGATGGCGCCATGTACCGTCATATAGCCAGAAGTAGGAGTAATACCAGCCAAACCTGCAATGGCTCTATTTATCATAGCAATAAGACTCGCTTTTTTTATGGTTGGCAGCATGTGAGAAAAAAGAAAGCAGCAAGAACAAACAGCTGCCGCCACCTGCAAATTAATCACGGCACAAACCGCTCCTGTTCCAGCCTGAAGAGCACTTCCTCCGTTAAACCCAAACCATCCAGTCCATAACATAGTGGCCCCAATGCAAGTAAGGGGAAGAGAAACGTAAGGCGATTCACCCCGATGAATGTGAAAATCTCGACGAAGTCCTAGAATACTGGCACACACCAAGGATGAAAACCCCAGCAGTAACATGAATGGCAATACCTGCTGCAAAATCCTGCACACCCCAGCGATGCAACCAGCCCTCGGGTGCCCAAATCCACTGTGCAAGAAAAAAATTACACAATAATTTCCCATTAAACTGTAAAAAATAAAAATGGACGAAAAGCCAATCGCCCTGTATAGGCACCAGTCATAAGAAGTGGTGTTATTGTTGGAAACATCATCTGGAAAGAGGCGAACAATGCCCCTGGGATGGCAGTTCCATCTTGACAAGTATTTTAATCTACTTTCGTCATAAACGCACGGATAAATGTAACAATAATACCCTTGTCCCCCGCAGCCCTACCCATTGTTATTGAATATCCGATGCGTACCCACAGCACGGAAAGAACAGCAAATCCGCTAAAGATCTGGGCAAAAACTGAAGTTGTATTTTTGAAACGCAGAAGACCAGCCTCAAAAAGCCTAATCCCGGTATCATCCCCAAGAGAAGAACTGTTGATATCAAACCCCACTAAATATCACTGTCCTCCGGCAAACATTTCTCTGCGGTACTAGCCGTGGAAGACGTAAAGTGCATGCGTGCGAATACAAAGACGATCCCTTGCTTTTCCGATTTCACCTCAATATGAAACCAAAACAACTAAAAAAAGCCATAAACCATTTTAAAAAAAGAACACAGAAACATAGCCAGAACACAAACCCACTTTAAACCCCCACCAGCTGCCAGTAATAAAAAAAAGAAGAAGAAAAGACGCAATAAAATATATATATATATATATAATACTAAAGACAGAGCAATGGCATGAGCGACATTGCCCAACCTCAAAAGGCTAAGAATTAGAAAACCGCAACGGCATCAACAGCCAACCCGCGCCGGGGGCCGCCCGGCACGCCGGGCCTTCTTTTTACTCTAGTTTTTTTTTTTATTTGGCCGGGAGCTGCGGCCGGAAAGCGGGGAGGCGGCGGCGGAACGATCCCGGCGGGAAACGCGCACGGCGGCCGTGCGCGACCCCGCCCCCCCAAAAAAAGAAATAGCAATAGCATCAACATAAAAAACGGGGGCGCGCCCGCCTGACGCTGGCACGTTTGTGTGCGTGTTTGTTCGTTTGTGTATGTGTGTTTTCCTTTCTTTCCTTCCTGTGCGTATTTTGTTCCTTTTCTGTTGTGCTTCTCCCGCGCGCTAGTTGTTAGAGGTTGTCGTTGTTTTCCCATGCTTCCTGCGAGGCGGTTGCGCCTTATATTGGGCAGGGCGTTGGAGGGACTCCCGGTAGTGCATTCCCCGTCCTTCGAGTTGGGCGACGATTTACATGATTATCTACTTAAAAGCTATATGCGAGAAACCGCCACAAATGAGAGACTGACGGAACTTCTTTCTTCGGTTTCATCCCTTGGAATTGCGTCGCAGGAAGACTGGTTACGGCTGAAAAAACTCGCTTTTTCTCATCTACCTGAGCTTTCATGTAGAACTGTTAATAGACTTTTTGCCCTGCTTGTGGAAAAGAGCGTTTGTGGAAATGTTGAATGCGTAAGAATACAAGATAAATTGGCTCAATTAAATTTCTCAAAAAATCTGAGGGATCATGAATGCTTAGAAACGCTTCGTTGCATCGCCAATGTCGGTTCCCGGCTGTCGCCTAGTTTCATACCCCAAGCTTTAGAATCCATCCAAAGTTTGGTGAAGCAGTGTCAAGCAGAGTTGCTACCGACGCTATCGTACACTATCGGAAGACTTCTGACTTCAAAAGAAAATAAGGGAATTCCGCCTGAGGTCCAGCACTCCCTCCTGGAAAGCTTGCTTGTAAGGGTGGAATCAATTGACTGTATGCTGCTGAGTCAAAGCGAAATTATTTACCTTTTCTGGTCCTTATCTGCGTTTTGTTCACCTATTGTGAGAATGCGAACAGCTTATATGAAAGCTTCTGACGCACTGCTGTTGCGCGGGATTGTGTTAGAAGAAATAAAAGATGCTGCTCCCATGGATTTACTGTTACTACTCTGCGGTTTATGTCCTCTGCTCGAGTGCTCCGGCGTGGGGAACGCAATACCTCCGTCACAAGAAGCTGGACTCATAGTGGGTGTGTTGACCGATCACCCTGAGATTAAAGGAACATCGCATGGATTTCTTAAGCGCTCATTCAAGCTGCTTGATTTAGTACTAGCTTCTTTTATTCAACGTGTCGCTCGTGGGGAAGTACAAAACCGTAAAGTTTCTTGTGTTGTTTTGGAGATGCTTACATGGTCTGATACAACTAATGTGTCGAAAAATGCGCAGATTTTGTTTCATCTGCTCCTTCGCACGCTTCTATATGGTGAGAAGGGTATCTGGTTCTGTGATTCGAAGCTAAACAAGCTCTCTGACGAAGATAACCAACAAACATTGGTGAATTATTTTCTTTTCGACCGGCGTGTGAATTTTATGGAAATTATTACAACTCGCCTAAGTATGTCTATACTCTCTTCTGTACATCCGCGGAGCTTTGAAAAGGCTTCTGTCCGAGAGATAATTGTGGTTCTAGAAGCCTTGGTAAATGGAAATATTTCTGCGAGTGTCAAAAAAAATATTTGCAGGTATGTGTAACGAAATTACCATGGGCTCTTCGTGTGGCATCGCGGCATGATTTTTCTCGCATTGTGAATGCTATAATGAAGTTTCGTCTTTATGATAAAACAAATATGCGTGCGATTCAGGATAGGTGCCAGGAACTTGGTGTTGAAAATCCATTGTTATATGAAAGTAACTCACATGAAGGTGGAAGTGAAGAAAAGGCGGCGCAGAGTGTAACAGTAGATAATTGGAACTCAGATACTGTCGTCCTACATATCTGTGAGAAGTCTTTACAACTCTCGGAACAAGATAAAGATTGCACAAATGATGTACCAACGCTAATGGAGAATCTAACTACTCGAAAAGGCATGCGTAGTGCCACAGAAAGACATTGTGTAGCCATTATCAAGTCACTTGCACGGCATCACCCGACCTTTAAAAATGAAAAGGTGTATCAGTCAGCCCTGACGTCTGTCTTTTCTCGGGTAAAAACAAGGCTTCCTATTGGACCAATGCTGTCTTTGATCCTTGATGGAGTAAAAGCTGGAGTCTCTCGTGAGGCGCTAACAGATTCTCTCTCATGGGTTGGTGGTCGACTCCTTGGGGAGGATATGGCAAACACTTCTCCAAAAGTTCTGGCCAACTATTTTGTTGCTGCGCATGAGCTGAATTTCTTGCATACGGCTGCTCATCCGCTGTTTATTGGTGCCTTTCAACATGAAAAGGCTATTGAGTTGCTTTCCCCTCAGTTAGCAGCTCGGCTCTTTGCAGCCTTATGTGCACTTGGTGTAGATAATAGGTCGTTGCTTGAATGCATTCTAAATCGAGTGGAGCTGTGGTGCTTGAAATTGTTGAAAACCGTCGGATGGTCAGAAGAAGATTGGAAAGCCAGCTTAGTTCTGGTCCATGCCTTGTGGACTTCAGCATCAGAGGTTGTGTGGAATCAATTAATGCAAATTACACACAAATTGGTTTCCCACATGATCGAGCGAGCAACTGAACCGAAAACTCGGGACTATTCTCTTTTGGTTGCTTCAGCTGCCGCCACCTTTAGTATTCACAATGCTGCTGACAAAGTCGCCACGCAAAGGAAGGGAAAGGCTTTTAGTTTTGAGCAGCTTCCTGGATTTCTGAATGTTGTTACTTCACTCTTCTCGGAAGACGGCATCGCTTTCTCGCTTCCTCGAACTGATTTGTTACTAAGATCCGAGGTGAAAACTCCTATTATTCCCCAATACAGCAACATCACCCACTTTATTATCACGGCTCATGCTGTTCAACGCCTTTCTCAAAGTGAAAATAAGTTGTCAAAGAGGCTAACGCCGCTTGGAGTGAGTTTGTGGCGATACTGTTTAAAGCATTTGGAGAAAACACCAATTACAGACAACACGCTATTGACAGCAGTGGGATTTTCAATTCGATTTGGTGCAAGCAGTCAGGCATTCGACCGATGTATGTCAGCATTAATAGAAAAAGAAGACAATGTAAACCTGCTGTCGGTATGCTTCATAGCGGATGGTTTGGTTCGAGCAGGCAAAAGGAGGTCCGTAGCCACCCAGTTTGTTGCTCATTTTTCACAGAGGAATTGCTTAGATGATTTACCAGCTGCGGCGTTATTCTCTTTACTTAGTTTCTTTGCGCGAGACGCGGAGCGGGTGGCTCTTGGACTAACTCGAGCAGACATGCTGATTACCCTTGTGTGGTCATCGCTTAGCCTTAAACTGGCGCGGCTGTCGGGAACTACAAATCTTTGGACTCTGGTAGAGACAGTACCTGTGGAATCAAGGCAGTCGCTGTTGGGCTTCTTTGTTGAAAGTGGATTGGTAGAGGCGTCTTCTGTGATGGAACTTTTGCCGCCTGTTTCTACGGTTTTAGCTTGGCAACATAATTTAGCAAACAGTGTCTATGTCAGCAATTTTTTAGCAAGGGTAAAAGCGTCTCTTGTTCATCGTGGAAACAATCAAACCACCCTCGATCCCGTTGCGGAGGAGATTTTGAAGAAAATTTCAGAGCGTATGTAGTTATATAACTTTGATTTCCGCTTTTATTTCAATGCTTTCCGTGTTTGTCAGTATATTGTTCTTGTTATTATTGCTGCTTTGCGCGTATCTTGGCCCCACCAAAACCTGGTTCTCTTAATCCATTTATTTATAATTTATTTTTTTTCTTGTGCGGATACGAAAAATAATAATAATAATAATAATAACTGAGGAGGGAGTGGGGACTTTCTTCGGCCCGGTTACATGACCCCGTGGAGACTAAGACGGCAATGCACTTCAATAAAGAATCGGGGGGTGAAGGTGTTGAACAATTACTTGAGGAGTTGCGGCAGTACGAGCAGCAAATATCGAATCTAACGGCATCTATCGAGAGTCAAAACGAGGAGCATGCCGGGATAGAAGCGGGTCTCATGGAGCTAATCCGCGAGAAAATCGGCGGCAGTTCCTCACCGCCGGTGCCGGAGAATAATGCCAACGGTGGGGAGTTTTCTTTGAACTTTGGCAAACTGCAGGATGAGATTGAGGCGACTCGTCAAACCCTGCAGGTGGCACACAAAAACGAAGTGCTGGCAGGAACCGCGTTGGCCCGTATCGCAACCTTTATTACGCAGCATGATGAAAAGTACAAACACCATCTTGACGGCTTGAGGGAAGTCATTCAGAGGTTTCAGGATGTTTTGGGCATGAGCGAGGAACATAACACCCGGTTAAAGGCGGAACTGAAAATGAAAGCGTGTGGGAATCCTCTTAATGGATGTGTGTGGACGTCTGGGGCGACGCAACCCCAAAACTGCCTGGTTGAAAAGAAGCTGGCGCCATGCTACGTTGAAGTGACTACAACAGTGAACTCCTTACTGAACTGCATGGCGGCAATCCTCGATTCGTTTAAAGTGAAGAATAAACTTCGTTTGAGCAATCGAAGCTGTCTAGAAGAGGCACATCAGAGAGTCAGGTCTCAGCTAGTTAAGCAGAGGGAGGTGTTAACAGATGTTCGCCATACTGTTGACAAGATGGAGAGAGCCATATCGGAACTGCAAGTGGAAAACAATGACAAGAAAACCATGTGGGAAGAGTTGCAAAAGGAGCTGTCGGAGCTCGAGAGGTCTCCGAGTCCCAGTGAGAGTACGGTTGCAACGATGGAGGCAATGTTGCGTTTGCCGATGGAAATCGATGAGCTAAAGCAGGCGCTAGAAGGAGCATCGAAGTCAACTCAGACGGTGCAGTCCGTGGAGAAAAAAACGGTTGAAGTGGCAAACGCCCAAACGTTCAAGTTGGAGCGCGCCACTAGCGCCCTTGAACGTGCCAGAGGAGCGGTCGCAGCACTGGAGGATGAGAAGGCTGAACTGCAAGTGCAAATAGAGGCCAGTCGTGAGACCACACAGAAACAGCTGCAGCAGATGGAGGACGAGGCACAGAAGGTGAAGGAGCTGTATGAAGAGGGAAATGAAATTAAAGAGGTCCAAAGGCTGTTAGAAGCGGAGGCGGAATCCCTCACGGCTTCCCTCGATGAAGCAAGGAAGCGCCTAACTGTACTGCGGGCCCAGCTAGAGTCGAAAGCAAGCCAAAAGGCGATGCTACAAGACGAGAAGCTGGAGACGGAGGAAAATGTTAACAACTTGAAAAACGAGTGTGTGCGTGCCCGCAATAAAATTATTGAAATACGTAAGCGTCTGTTTGCGCTACGGCAAGAGGAAGAAAAGGTGTCAAAGGACTTGGAGTACATCACCTCACTTGTGCCGGAAACAGCTCTGTCGTCATTGCCAAGGGTGTTTACTTCTCAGCTAGAGGCAGATGTCCGGCGGCCTGAAGAAAACCTGCGGCAGCTGGTGAGTTGGCGAGATAGAAATCTATTCACGAAGGCTCGACAAGAACACCGCTGCAACGTGGGGGCAGCAGGTGTCCCTTGCGCCGGCAGTACGCCTCTTGACACGGTCGTTGAGCTTGGTGCCAACACGCGTGTCCTGCGACGCTCATCCTCTTCCACAACAACGCAGCGACCATCACGTTTCATAGGTGATCCCGCTCCATCATCAACTCCTTCGCTTGATGCTCACTCCTCCCCAGTTACGACAGGACGGGAACCACGGGAAACAGCTCTGCTTGGGCCCAACGAAGAACCGCCTAGCGGCAAGACGAGTCAGATTGTAGTTGACGGCACGAGATATTCGCTTTCCCATTCCCGCACCTCTGTTTTTTCGCCCATCCGCTGCGAGTTTAGGAGGGACTTCCTCAGAAGCAAGATACCCTGCAAAACAGCGAACAGACGAAACAGCGGTAAGGCCTTTGGCGGAGTCGCCGGCCAGTTTGAATGCAAAGGGAACAGAAGAAGGCAGTCCAGTGATTGAAAGTATCAATCTTCGCCTACATGAAATTCTGAATCGAAAGTATTGACGTGTCAACCTAGTTGTATCGAGGCATCCGAAAGGGGGTTCGATTACCTCCACTTGCATTGCTGTTAGCCACGCAGGAACTGCGGTGTAGTTTTGGTGCGACTTTTATGGGAACTGACTTTTGTTGAACTGCAAATGTGTGTGTGTGTGTGTGTATGTGTGTGTGTGCGTTTGTTCGTTTTTTACTCAGCTAATTCATTCATTCATTCATCGCATCATATGCTTTAGAGCCTTTTTTTTTTATCCTTCTGCCCATTGAGCCTCTTCCTTCTCCCCCCCCCCCTTGTCGATCCGTTTAGCTGTCCAATGGCAGAGGACCCTGTGGAGGACCTCCGGCGCTACCTGACACGTGATGAGGTGAGTGCGAAGCAGCAATTTACGGCCTCGCTGCAGGGGAAGAGCTCGGAGGAGCTCGTGACCCTTCTTCGGTCCCGGAGGGAGGCGGCTGCCGCGGAAAGGTCCACGGAGGGAGCTGGGAGCTTACTCAGCAGTGAGCATGGCAGCGGCGTCGTCGTGAAGTCGGAAAGTGATGTCAAGAACACCCCGCCCGCGGCGAGGAAGCTGCAGGTGGAGGAGGCAACAAGTAGCCCGGTGAGCACCGAAAGACTGGTGGAGATTAGTAGGGTAGACACAAGCCGTGAGGAGCCGTTAACGCGGCTAGGAGATAACGAGAGCCAACCGCGTCTTCAAGAGGAGCACGGTGCGGCGTGGAAGGCGGTACGCTCAGGCGCCATGGTTACGAAGGAGGAACTAGAGGATGTCCGGCAGGATATGCTTCTGCAGGAGCGCGTGTTAAAAGCCTTGGAAAAGGACAACGCAGAGGTTCATGCGGAGCGGCGGGTTTTGCGTGCGAAACTGGCCGAGATGGAGCAGAAAGCGGAGAACGTTGAGGCTAAGTACAGTATTTTGGCGAGCGGTCAAAGTCCGAATCCACGTGCGGGTCCGCCTGTGATGTCCGCTGCAGCCGCGTCGACGCAGCGGGGGCAGCAGTGCGGCCAAGACGAGCTGCACATGGAGTTGGAGCAGCAGAAGACTGTGGTACGGGAACTGCAGTTGGAGTTAGAGCTGCTTCGACGCGAGAAGAAAGAGGTCGAGACCCGCTTAGCAGCCCTTGATGTCAAGAAATTCGAGGAGATGGAGCTGGAGCTTCGCAACCTGCGCGTCGATTTAAAGCGCAGGGAGACGGAGCACAACGACACAGTGAAGGATATGGCGCGCAAGATTGCGTGGTATGTGGAGCACCAGGAGTTTAATCGCTCTCAGGAGGAGCTGCTGAAGGAGCAGCAAGACACCATCCGCCGCCTGCGTGCGAGGCTGCATGAGGCAGGGGCCATGGACGACGCGGGGAAGCACAAGCGTGTGGGGAAGGATGCACGTGTGAAGTACCTCACCAAGCGTGTGGTGGAGCTTGAGGAGGCGCTTAACCAGAAGCACCCGGACAGTATTGCGCAGCTTATTCGCAGCTGTCAACCCGCTGTGCAGGATTCAAAGCAGTTTAGGCAGCTCAACCAAAGAATCAAGGAGCTGGAGGAGGCGATCGTCGAAAAGGACCGCTGCGCTGAGGCGGCAGTCACCCACCTGCGGGTGGAGACGGATCGTCTACGCATTCAGTACCAAGAAAAGATTGAGAGGCTCGAGGAGGAGCTTAAGATGCGGCTCATGCATGCACAAACGCGCCGCGTTCGCGATCTAGAAAGGCAACTGGCGGAGTTGAGACAGGCGTTGCGTGAGAGAGACCAGGAAGGAAAGTCATCCGTTTTGACAGTTCTGGAGAGGCCGGCTGCTGCAGTCTTGGCTGGGCCAGAAGAGCCCAAAGCACACACTGCGGCGACACAGACGGCCGCTGCTAACCACGTAGACGAGGCCATTTCACTGCTCCGCAAAGAGAATGACGCTCTGAAAAATCAATTGTCGCAAGCCACGCAGGCGGAGTCGCGGACGCCTGTTGCCGTCGCGGGGCCTCTTGGCACTGAGGTAGGCGCCTTCTCATCTCATGCTATGTCAAGCATGCAGGCCCAGCTTAGCACCCTTGCCGCCGAGTTGGCGGTGTACAAGCGGTTGCTGATGGAGAGTCAAGAGTTGCTTCGCGACGCACATGCGCGGTGGGAAGAGCGCCTGCTAGCCGCAAGGCAGGAGCACCAGTGCCAGCTCCAGCACGCACGACAGGAGCACAACGACGACCTCAGGCGGCTTCAAGAGAACCACCAACGGGAGATGAAGGCCATAGCCGAGCAACAGCAAGCCTTGGAAACGGCCTCGTGGGCCTGTCAAAAGGCCCCCCAAATTACTTTTGCAGATCCGCGCCATGGTCGCGCTTTCCTCCAAAGCGTTGCGGAGCGATTGACCTACCTTGAACGCCGTCAGGTGCAGAAGGAGCGGGAGGCCGCCCACGAGATTTCGGAGGTCAAGCGTGTGGCTGACTTTGAACTTGCCTTGGCGAAGCAGCGCACTGAAATGCTGCTTGAGCAAAAGAACTGCCAGATCCAGGAATTCAGGCTGCAGCTGGACCAGCTGCTCGCAACGCTTGCGCTTCTGCAATCTCATGCATAGATAGATGGACGGAGACCTCGATCTGGACGGACGCCCTGTCCCTATCTTGGCTTCTGAGTTATACACCTCACCCGTTGTCTGATTTCTTTTTCCTTTTCCTTCTCCTCCCTGATGTTTTGGTTGGTCGGCGCCGCCAGGGAGTTCACTCGGCGCTGAACCACAGACACGGCAATGGAAAAGGGAATACGGGTGGCGACGGCCGCTGCACATTGAACGCGGCTGAGGCATGCTGGGGTGTACACTGCGATACCCCGTGCTTTGCCGACAGGGAGTTTACGCCATGCATTTCGCGGAGCTGCAAATCCTCTAGCTTCAGGCGTGCTGCAGTGCATACCTGTGGGCTTCTCTAATTTTACTCTATGAATGAAGAAGGAAAACAACAAAAACAAAAAAAAAGGATTTAAAAGAGTTTCACCAGATATTTGACGCATACTTAGAAAGACGTACGTGCATACACACACAGACATATATATATATATATATATAGCAGAAGTAAGGGATGTCTCAATATTGCATGGCCCGGGGCGTGGTGCTTTTCATACTTGTTGCCCTCGCCGCACTCACGGCCTCCGCTGCTCTCGTCGTCCCCACAGGGGGACCGATGCCTAAAAATCTTGATGGCTACAACTTCGACCGCTTTCTGCGAGAGTTTGGAAAGGTGTACGACGCAAATGAATATGTGCGTCGTCGAACCGTGTTTGAGCGGACGTTGGCCAAGGTGCGGGCCCACAATGCGGCCGGAGGACACCTATACGTGATGGGCATCAATCACATGTCAGACTGGACGCCGGAGGAGTTTGCGAGTCTGAATGGCGCAAAGCCGCGCATGATGCGCCACCTTGCTAACAAAAGTTTTCAACGCTCGTACGAAGCAACCGCCGGGCCACTTCCCACCGCGGTGGACTACCGCAACTCCGTCCCCGCAGTGCTGACGGCGGTAAAGGATCAGGGCTTGTGTGGAAGTTGCTGGGCCCATGCTGCGGTGGAGGAGATGGAGACCCATTACGCCATGTCAACTGGAAGGCTTCACGTGATGAGCCAACAGCTGTTGACGTCTTGTGCACCCAACCCAGACGAGTGCGGTGGGACGGGCGGTTGTCAAGGCTCTACAGCAGACCTCGCCTACGAGTACGCTCGAACTGGCATTACGTCGGAGTGGGAACGTCCTTACACGTCCTACCGTGGTGAAACGGCTCAATGTGGAAACGTAAGTGGTGCCCGCATTGCCAGTGTCAAATATTATGTGAAGGTTCCGTCAAACGCTCAGGATGCCGTCATGAGGCATCTTGTCACCTACGGTCCTTTGTCCGTCAACGTGGATGCAACCGATTGGAGCTCGTACGCTTGGGGCATCTTTCACGGCTGCGACTACGGCAGTGGCATCACAATTAACCATGTGGTACAGCTTGTGGGCTACGGCCACGATAATGTTCTGAATGCTAGCTACTGGATTTTGCGTAACTCGTGGTCTCCAGGCTGGGGCGAAAACGGTTACATTCGGCTGCTGCGCACAAACACGCCGGAATGCGGCTGGGATGTTAACATGCAGGATGGAACGGCATGTAAGGGCGACCCTTCCGTCGCCTGGGCATGTGGAGAATGCGGAGTTCTCTTTGATGCCTCATTCCCCGCGATGGTGTAGCTACAGTGTAAAATGTGTATTGTATAGTACGGTATGCAGCAAACCCCAGTGCCAAGGAAAAGAGAGAGCCGGAGACCCACGGGGGTGGGGACACGATCAAGCAAATCTTCCCTGGGACAATTATTTATTATTTTATTTTCATCGTTTTTTTTTTGGGAGCTTTTGAAGGAATAGTAAAAAAAAAATCCGACCGCATTGGGACTGATGGGTGACAGCGCATAGTGTTGGGGGTCCCTCTTTTCCCACGCATGACGTTTTTGTTTTTTTTATTTGCTTGTTGTTGTTGTTGTTTTTTTCCGGCCTCCGGCCATGCGATGTTGGAGGCCAGCAAGTGTAGCTTCTCATTTTGTTTATCCCGTTTTTTTTTTCGTTTTCTTTTTTGTTTTCGCTCTTGGGAGGAGAGTTGGCTCGCGGGTGTGTGTTTGCGTGTGCTGCTGCATGGCGTCGCAGGGGCGATGGCCCCCGCGAGGGAGCGCGTCCTTCCTCTTTTCTTTATCATGATGCTTTTCTTATTATTACTGTTGTTGGGGGAGGAGGAGGAGGGAGTTCCTGATTACGGCTGTTGGGGGCCGGGCGTTGCACGTTGCGTGTCATCTTCAACTTCGTCTTCTTGCTCTTGCTCTTGCTCTTGCTCTTGCTCTTGCTCTTGCTCTTGCGGCTTTGGTCGATGCTGCGTGGAAGGAGCTGGTGGGAGAAATGAATCAACTCAACGTCAACGCGGCGACTCGCGAGGAGCTCGTGGAGGTCGTCAAGCAACTGCGGCAGCAGCTGCGGCAACACCAGGCGAGCACCGACCGCGCCAAGGAACATAAGCGGCAGGTGGACCAGCTGAAGCAGAACCTTCGTGAGAAGGCGAATGCGGTGCGGGCGTTGGAGCAGCAGAATGCCATGTTGTCTGAGAAGTCTGCGGCGGACGAAGAGACCATCAGTGTCTTGATCAAGCAGCTTGAGGAAATGAGTGCGGGAGTGGCCGACGCGGCGAACAGTGACGGCGTCGTGGAGGCGCGTGCGGTCTCCGCAAAGGCGGCGGCGGCGGGCCCGGAGGAAAAGAGGGCGGTCGCAGCGAAGGTCGTCCAGGCCTCCGTGAAGGGGTCCGGCGGCGCCGGCGCGGCGGGAGGCGCTAGTGGAGACTCTCCGGCACCCGCAAAGGCGGCGGCAATCATTGCGCAGCAAAATGAGGAAATGGCGAAGCTTGAGATGAAGGTGCGTGAGCTTACGGAGGTGAACACGTTCTACACGGCAATTGTCTCGCACCACGACGAAGCGGAGCGGCTTCAGGTGGCACGGCAAGGTGCTCCTTCAGCGACGACGCCGAATGCGGCGGCACCTGCCGCCGACACCGCCTCCCTCCGTGACTGTATTCGTGCCTTGGAGAATGAGCGAGAAGTCTTGCAGCGCGTGGTGCGTCAGCAGAGTCAGGAGAAGCAGGCCCTCATGAACGAGCTCCAAGAGCACCGGGCGGAGCTCTCTCGTTTAGAGCTGGATCTGGTGGCGGCAGAACGCTGGAAAGTCTCCGCGAGCGCGTCCTTTGAAACCGCAGAAAGTATTACCCCTGTCTACGCTTCTTCTTCACCGCCAGCTGAGGAATTTCCCTCCTCGCGAACGCCGGCGCGGTCAGTGAACTCGATGCAGTACAAAAGTGGGCGTGGTAGATCCATACCTAGCCCCGCCGCGCGGCTCAGAAGCACCGGCCCTCCACCTGAGACACATTCACCCGCACGCGGCCTCGCAAGCAGAACAGGTCTGCCTCAGTTGGAGATCCTTCCTGAGATTCGTCTGCGGAATCCGTCCAAGCAGGAGAAGTTGCTCTTGGAACGGGTTGAGGAGTATAGGAAATGCATCGAAGAAATGCAGACATTTGAAGTAGACCGTCGGAGAGGCTTTGACGAAATTGAGCGTGCGCGTGCGGAGCTTTTTACCGAGATGAACACAAAACTTGAGGAGCAGCGTCGCGAGATTCAGCGGTTAAACAAACGGCTCGCAGCTACTGTTAGTGCGTGCCGAAACGAGGATGAGAGGAGGACGGTGGAGAGCCGCTCCGTGAAGGATGCAATTACTTCACCCATAGTGTTTCCTGTGCACGGCGGCGGCGAGCGTGCAAGCATGCCATCCTTCAACGCCTGCGCCTCGGCCTCCGCTGGGGAAGATCGGGTGTTGGCAGAGGAGGAGGCTGACGGGGTCAATGCGGCGGACGAAAAAGCGTTGGGCGGCGATGGCGGCGCTGCCGCAGCGGACGCAGCTATGGATGAAGAGGCAATACTTGAATGCTTAGGGGCCGTCGGTGTCTCGGCAGAGACACCTGCGCAGGAGGAGGAGGGGAAAGAAGAAGGAGCAGCGACGGACACCGAGTTTGGTGGGGGCGATGGAGCGGTGAAAAAACTGGGCAACTCTCTCGAGGCGGAGGAGGGGGAGTGGCAGGAGATGCAGGATGCACCTTTGCCCAAAGTTGATTGGGCGTGGCAGCTCCTGGCCAAAGAAGAGGAAATTGGCAGGTTAGGCATCCTTTGCGAGGAGGGAGATGCGGCGGTCCAAATGCTGCAGCTGAGTCGAGCGGCCATGGCGGCGGGGTTCGCTACACACGCTGCAAAATGCTTAAATGAAGTGGACGCTCTTGAAACCGCGCTTTTTGAGATGCGGGAGTCGGTTTGCTCTCTCGAGGGGCGGGAACGAGAACTTGCGGCCGAGGTCGCACGGCTGCAGGAGGAGATGGCGTCTATGTCGCAGGCGGCGGATGACACAAGTGCATTGACTTTGCCGCAGAAGGCTTTGATCTCCTCATCTTGCTTGTTCGATGCCACTTGCGCAGGCGAGCCCTGGGAACCGTTGCGGTGCGTATGTAGGGCCTACAGCGAGGTGGTGGACGCACAGCTGGCACTCTTGCGCACAGCTTCTGCCCCTGTCGTTGCCCCCGCAATTTCAGTCGAGGAATTTGCCCAGCTTGGCACCGCACTGGATGCTATTCTGAATAAGGCGAATCGTGTTGCCAACGGCATCCACGACAAAGGGAGAAGCGGCGCGGACGCATCGTGCGAGGTTACTGCAGAGGCAAGTCCCGAGAAGGCGGCGGAGAGTGACATGTCTGTGCTGAATACGGCCCCAGAATTACCTTCACAGGCGTCGCCATTGTCCCTGCAGCCCTCGATTGCTCCCGCCCCTGCAGCAATCACGGCGTCTAGGGAGGCTGCAGGTAACGCCTCAACTGGCAGCCGGCACCCGCGCCAGGAACTCCCGCCGGGTCAAGCAGCCAGCGCGGAGAGGAGTGAGAGAAGCAGACCGTGGTTTGACAAAAATCAGACCGCATTTTCGTCTCCACCGGGGGAAAACAGTGAAAGGAACAGATGGTTCCTGCAGCCCGCTGGCATGTCTGCCTCATCGCGGCGGGAACCACCCCGTGTCTTCTCTGAGGAAGAACGTTTGCACGCCACTGCCAATGCGGCAGTAACCACCAGTAGCCCGATGCCGTCTTTTGAGTCACAATTCACTGAACGATTTGCGCCGGATCTTTTGGATTATTTCGTGACATCCCGTGGGGCGGGGGAGGAGGCACAACGTGGCGCTACTGCTCAAGGTAGCGCACCTAAAGTGAGGAACGTTCTCGACCTCTTCGGCGCGGTCCTCCCCGCCGAATCTCCTTCCAAGCAGGGCGGAGACAACAACACTTTTGTGGCGGAATTCGATCCGTTTGCTTGAGCATTTTGTGTATATGTGTGTGGCCTCGTCGCCTTTGTACCTGGACCTCTTTGGAGTAAGCAAGCGAAAAGAATATTTGCGGGCATCGGGCGGGTCAATGCCCGGCGGACCACATCGCCACCAATCGCCAGGGCAATGGGGAGTTCAGCTTTCAGCCTTACCTCACCTAGCGCTTGCCCTGTTCTACAAGCTCCTTTTACTGCGTCTTTGAAAAGAGGCTGCAAAGGACATCGATTACCGGACACAGCAATGGCGCCGGGTTTGAATTGCCCGATAACCACTTCCTGGCCGTGGGGGCTTTTACCGCGTCTCTTTAACGGTAAAAAGCGGATGGCAGCGAATGTTGTGTAGTTCCCCCTCCTCTTGCAAACGCCCAAGATGAACATCGTAAAGCTGCAAATGGGATCTCCATCGGCTTCCGCAAGGTCCGACTTCTTTTTTTTTTTTTCGTTGTTGTTGTTCTTCTACCCGGCATGCGCGTGAGTGTTGAAGGCGTTTGGGAGGCCCAGGACGGAAGGAGCCCACTGAACTTGCACGCCTTGTCCTACCCTGGAATTTATTCACTGCTTGCATTTTCCCTCCCGTCTTTTATTTATTTATTTTTTTTTTCCGTTGTCGTTGGCATTCAAGCGTGGGCCGCCCGGTTTTGCCCGATAAATAGGGGGTGGATGGCCGCGGGAACGGCGTTTTCTCGCACTGCGGCCGCAAACGGTGACGCGCGCGAAACTGCCCCACTGAAAACGAGTGGGAAAAAGTCTGGGAGGGGAGGCGCGGCTCGCCCAGTCCACGTTCGGATGAACGAGGCTGAAAGGGGGGAAAACGGTTTCGCGCAACCCCTTTGCGGGCGCCGCCGGCTAAAATCGCCACACGGCGCCGAATCAAAAAGATATTTTACTGTTATTATTATTATTAGGACAACAGCAATCGTGGTATTTATAATCCGCCGCGGGGAGCGGCTTCATAAGAAGGTTTTGGCCCTTCAGGTCTCCTCGGAATAGGCGCCGCGCTGGCCGCGCATTCCGAAAACCTTTTGTCTCAACAGCCGGCGTCGCCTCCTTTTCCCTCGCGGCCGGCAGTCCACCTCCGTTAGGGACCCCTGCGCGTGCTTTCAGCCTCTTATTTCATTTTATCGCATCCATCCTGCCCCGCGCACGTGCAGCTCCATCATTTCACTGAGGAGATCGCAACGATGGCGGTTTCCCCTTCGCGCGATTACAGCAGAAGTTGAAGCCGAGCTCTCCTGTCGGATTTCTTCTCCAACCCCCGAAGAGCGGTGCAAGAGGAGAAGTTGCGATGCGCAGCGTTTAAGGCGCACACCCCTGCGGGTGCGGGTGCGAGGCCAAAGCAAAAGAGTCCAAAACTAGAAAAAGAGAAGTAAAACAATAAAATACAGGTTGCTCCCTTCACTCAACAGACGAGCGACGCCGTCCACACAAGTATTGTTGCTACGGACGGGAAACGGTTCAGGGCCTGGGAGATTGAACTGACCACAGAGGAACCGGGCCGGTCGATTGCTGAACTGTCGAGCCCGGGTGCCCCTGACCCCTCCAGGACGAATTTGGGTTGTCGGGCCGCACGGGAGAGCAGCGTTCCGGCGTCTCCTCGCACACAAGCTGTTTCCGAACCACGGCGTGGTTTACTTGCCTCGCCCTGCCCTTGCAGCGAACTCTGCCAACGTGGGCGCCCGGTGGCGAGGGGTTGGGGGGCGGCGCGGGCACTCTGTGCACACATCGCGCCGAGGAACCTTTGGCATCGGCCCCGCCGCGCCCGCTTCACGGTCGTCGCATGGGCGTTTTTTGTGGGGGCGCTGCGGTTGGACGCGACCAAACAGTCCCCGGGCGTGACTTGCGCCGCGCGCCGTGGACAGATGCTTCCGGAGGGCGGCGCGGGAATCGCAAGACTTCTCACCAGCGCGTGCGGGGGGAGGTGTTCCTCTGCAGCTTTTTCCATCTTCCTTCGTCTGCAAGGGGGC